CTTTCTGTCTCTCTCTGTCTTTCTGGCGAGCGCACACGCCCTATAGCAAAAACCTCTCCAAAATTAAAAAAAAAAAAAAAAAAAAAAAAAAGAACACAATTATTTTTAAATGATTAATTTAAGTATAACTAAAAGTTCAATCATACTGGTAGTTTAAAAAAATGAAATCTGTAGGTCACATAAAAGCTCCTCATAAAGTAAAAAAAAAAAAAAAACAAAACAAAAACTGTGTACTATAAGCATAACAATATTTAAAATACTATCCAAGAAAGTCTGGGTAGGTAAGTCAAATTTCATTTATCATCAAACATTTAACTCATAGGATATTCACTTAACAAATATATTAATTGTAATATGCAGATGTGATAAAGTAATCACTGTATTACATGTTCTCTATCTGCAAATCAAGGTATTTTAGGTTACAAATTCTCTAGAATATTTGCTGATCACCTACAATTAATATAATTTACTTTCATATTTTAAGTGAACTTCTGAATAAACTCGCTCAAAACTGTGTTACAAATTAATAACTGATACATACTTCCTCCCATTATCAAAATCTATAACGTTGATACAGCATATTACGTCTATCAAGATGTAGTTTTCATTACAATTTCAGAAAAATGTTTAAATTGGTTTGTATAAAATGGCATTAGAAAGTTTCTTTAATCATGAGTGTATGATATTAATATCAGAGACAGAAGCTTTCTTGCTATCATGATATGAAGCAAGCTCATTTGAGAAAGTTTTGAACTGGAATCAGTACAATAGCAGCATTTTCTGGGCAATTTTCTCAACTTCGTTACCTAAATTACAAAACTCCTATAGACACTCATTTTAAGGGTCCTGTGAAACAAAGGCTTGGGCTCTCTGCCATTTGGTATCCACAGCCAGTAAAATGGCTCTGTGGCCTGCACACAGAGTGTTTTTGAGGGGGTGTGTGTGTGTGTGTGTGCTGAGAGAATTATGTTTTTAAAGGATATTGAATTTCCAAAATAGCATTTACAGAGTATTTATTGAAATTGTCAGCAACTAAGCAAGTCAAGAAATTAGATAAAGAAAAAAAATTACTGAACCACACTATAATGATAACAAAGGTTATCATTTATTAACTGCCCATTTTACCTTAGAACATAAAGTTAAATAAAATAATTCTTTTTTTAAAAAAGAATATATTATGCATTTTAACAAAAATCTCAGGCTATCCTTTTAATAATCCTTTAAAGACACTGATACTCCCCCCCAACCCAGTCTACCCTCTTAACTACTGTAACAATTCTTCCCTCTTCTGCCTTTCTCAATTTCTCCCTCTCTAAAGAATCTTTCCTGGGACCAGCAGTTAGTGTTATAGCTATGTTGCTGAACTCCCATGTAGCTGACTGCAGTTCAAGTCCCAGACCCGGTGGAATAAGTGCGTGTGTGAGAATGTCCAAGATCCCAAGAGGAGAATGGAGGAGAAGGGATTGTGTGTGGTGTGGCCATTCTCCCTGGGGGATGATTTATCGCTTTCTATCTCTCTATCTCTCTCTGTCTCTCTCTGTCTTTCTGGCGAGCACACACGCCCTACGGCAAAAACCTCTCCCCAAAAAAAAGAAAAAAAAAAGAAAAAGGAATCTTTTCCACTAACTTTTTCCCGTTTTTTCTCTTTTCATTTTATCTTCGTGCCAATTACAATTAGACTTTGCCCCAACAACCCACTGAAATTACTCTTATCCAAAAGTTGACAATTTTTTCTATAAAGGTTTCCTAACAAGTATTTTAGTTTTTGTGGGTCATATAGTGTCACACATGATTCTTTTTAAAAATTCTTTAAAAATGCAAAAATCATTCTTAAGCTTATTGGCTATAAAAACCATAGGTCATGGGGCTGTTTAGGTCTGTATCCTGTAGTTTCCCAGCCAAAGCAATGTCGTCAAATACCTCAGATGGTCAATTTCTAGTCCTCCCTTTATTTAACCTATGAGCATTAGTTGATTCACACTTTGATCATGCCCTCCTCCTTTGGGTTTCCACAGTATTACATCTCCTGTATCTCCTACTACCTAACAGGCCAACTGTCTTCTACTACTTCACTAAGTTATTCAATTTCCTGGCCTATTCGCTAAGAATGTCATTCTCCCTTTTTCTTTTTTGAAAGAGATGTTTGCCTTAGGGCACATGCACTCTCTGGAGAGAAAGAGACAGAGACAAAGGGAAGGAAAGTGAGAAATCACCCTCCAGGGGGAATGGCCATGCTGCAATTCTTCTCCATTCTCTTCCCAGGATCTTGGGCAAGCACACAGACATGTCCAGTGTGATTTTCAAGCCACCAGGTCCAGGACACTATCTACAGTCAGTCATGTACCAATATGCCATCTGCTGGTCCCCTTTTCCTTTCTTAATCGGTTCTCACCCCTTGGAGATCTCATCCATCCTTCTAGTTGGTAAGGCTGCCTGATACTCCTGTCTCTTACACTGCACTCTTTCTGCTAATTCTGTTGGTTTTCCCTTCCAAATACTCTCCTTTTTGAATCCTATCCCCTCAAAAAACTTATGTTGAAATTTAATCACCATTTTAACAGTATTAAGAGATGGAGCCTTTAACAATTAGGCCATTATTACAAAGTAGATCAGTAATTATGGGAGTGGGCTCCTAAGAAAAGGGTAAGTCTGTCCCTTTTCTCTCTTTCTTGCAAGCTTGTTTGCCCTCCCAAACTCCACCATGGAAAAACACAGCAAGAAGGCCTTCATTAGATGACTAGTAGATGTTAGAACCATCACTTTGGACTTCTCAACCTCCAAAACTATGAGAAACCATTCTTTTCCCAATGTGTGGTATTCTGTTACAGCAACACCAACAGACCAAGACATGTTCTCAGAAGCTGACCACTACCTATTGCTGCCACTGTGGGAGTGACTACCATCACCTAACTTGGATTACAGCTATAATCTCTAAACTGGTCATACCATTTCTATTTTGCCTCTTTCTGTCTATCCACAAAGTACGAAAGAGATTTTAATTAAAAACAAAGGCAGATCATGTCATGCCTTCCTTCAAAATGCCACCTGTAGTTTCCCACTGAGCTCCAAATATAATCTAGTATCTTTTTTTTTTTTTTCGCTATAGGGCGCATGTGCTCGGCAGAAGATAGAGACAGAGAGACAGAAAGCAAGAAATCACCTCCCAGGGGGGATGGCCACGCCACAATCCCTTCTCCTCCATTCTCTTCTTGGGATCTTGGGCATGCATGAACGAGTTTAAGCCACCAGGTTCGGGACTCGAACCGCAGTCCACTACATGGGAGTCCAGCGACACAGCCATTACGCTAACTGCTGGTCCCTATTATCTAGTATCTTTACAAGGCTAAACATGATATAGCCAGATTGTTTCCAGTTGGCCACATTTACTTTTCTTCTTACCACTTGTTTGCTCTGCTCAGCCAACCTTGCCATCCTGATTCTCTTCAAACATGCATCCTTTGCCCACTCTTCCTTGCTATTTCCTATACCTAGAATATTCTTATCACAAATATCTTCAAGGCTCACTCCTGTAACTCTTTCAAGTCATTCAAATATTATGTTATGATTTATAACTGCAACTCTCCTATCACCAATCTCTAGCATTCTACAGCTCTCTTTTCTAATATACTTTTTTCCACAGCACTAATCATTACCATCATGTAACATTGTATAAATATATACTGAATCACACTATAGCACTCTAAAATCCTCACCAAAAAAAATTAAGAACAGTTCATCAAATTTTTATTTCTTCTCTCAAAACGTACAAACCCAAATAAAGAAACACCAGCATAGGAGAAACTGAGGCAGCTTCTATTACCTGAGTGGAGTTAGACAGTTGGTTTTTCCACGGCTCCTCTGCGCTGCTGGTCAGGTTTGTGCGGTTATGAGGTAGAGTGAGTGCGTTTCGCTGCAGGTAAGGCACGTTTCCATTACTTCCACTTCCTGTTATGTGATTATTGCCTATCAAAATAGTGTCTGTACTTCCCAGTGTTCTCGATGTGCTACAGGGAACAAGGCCTGCAGAAAAGGGTCCATTGGCCAAAGGCTGCCCAGGGCAGGCAGGGCGGACTCCAGGCTGGGAGACACTAGGCACTCTGGTCAAAGCAAGCTGTGGCTGTTGGCCAGAGACTGAGTTTGTAGGCAGTGTTGAGTCAGCTGTTGGCCCATTAGGAATTCCAGTAGATCGTACCTGTGCAACTCCTGTTTGTCTCATCTGTCAAAAAAAAAAAAAAAAGAAAGAAAAAAAAGAAAAAAAGAAAAAAAGAAAAATAAATGCTGTTTGTGTGGTCCATGGGGGAGAAAATCAGGATGTGAAGATATATAATTTTATCCACTTATTTGACTTCTCAAGGTTAAAAAAAAAAAAACATACTTTAAAAAACAAAACACTGTATCTATTTATTTTTAGAAAATCTTCCTCAGGAAAGCAAAAATCTGTTTCATTTTAAAGAAACATTTCATTCGTATTCACAAAAGCAGCTGAAAATTATGGAAAACTGTAGATTTTATAGGACTTTTCCCTCAATCACTAAAGAGGGGACTTCATCATTTTATTCTATTACATTTATGCCAAATCCATCATATTAAATAAAACCTCACCTCAGTTTAAGATAGCTTGTAAAGTATGACGTTAACTTTAAGAATATATGGGAATGCCATGTAAATGAATAATAAAATGTAATGTGGTATGTTCAAAATTAAATTTATAGCAAGTTTTTTCCTAAAAAGTCTCTGCTTTCAGTATGCACAGCTTACTAAATTACACTGAAGACTAGTAGAAAGTAGAAAGGGTGCTTGAATGTGCTTTAAAATGATGTTACAGCAAAAAAAAAAAAAAAAACTCA